GGGGATTGTGAAAAAGATATGATATCTGGACCTCGAATCTTCACGCATATTGGCTCCTTTATTCTTTTGGGTAGGCGCTGACTCGTGCGACCAATATAACCTGCTCGACAGGAGCAAGTTAAGGAGTAAATACTGAAAGTACTGAAAAAATCCCTTTTGGACAATTTTCCACAACTCGAATACTGCACATCCTCCGCACTTGTGTAGGTAGTCCAATAGAGGAATTTCGTGCAAAGGTGTTAAGCCGTAAACAGCTCAACTTTTAACCTCACTTTAAAAGTTTGTTTGCTTTGGACCGCCTTCAACGGGTGGACTTTCGTTCACTGCCATAGAAGGTACTTGTTATCGATCTCTTTTAGGTCTACACGAATGCGGTTGTTAATCCATATCTGCATTTCTGCCGACTTCTCAATAAATGCATAAGTGTTAACGCCTCAAAATGCAATAGCCCGAAGTGTCCACCGAAATTATGAAATCAACTTTCATCTGGAGAGTATTATCTAGGAGGTGGGATTGCAATGCTGGTTATCATATCGAAGGGGGGTTAAGTCGGTTAAACCCTGGCAACTGTTATCTTCAGGCCCAGTTCTTTAGGAGAGGAGAAGTCATGGGAAGGCTAGGCGATAAGAGTATATTCTGTACAGAGGAAATGAAGAGTAGGCAATAGAAAATTGGCTGTCAGAGGAGCGTACAACCGCAAGCCAGCGGTAGTCACCATACAAGGTCCTGTGTCGACCCGTGATTGGCTGTTCCAGAGGCCTCGAGCAGCAAGCACTCACAAATGCACTTGGACTTGAGCTTATTACGACAAGTGTTCACAGGTGCATTTCGTATGAAGCTATTCGCTCGAAGCATGCAGTCTAATCCCACTTCTGGGTACCCACTTGAGTAGCATAAATTTTTCTAAGTGATTTCCGATGCTTTTATAAGTTTGAATATGTCATATAGAAAATCTGCACAAAAATAGTCTTTTGATACTCATTTCGCAGTAGTTTACGTCATTTTCACATTCTACAGTTGATAAAAGAGTGTGCGTCAGTATACCGAATAATTTTGCACTCAGCTTGTCATTACACTGGCATGTAGGTTTTCCAAAATGCATACTTTATACGTTTTTTCTAAGGAATATCATACATTTCGTTTCGCTATAAGGAAGACATCACCTATTGCTCATACTATTTGCTCATAAGTTCTCCCACTCCCAACGTTTTTTTTTAATCACGCCTGACAGCCTTTCACTGTAACGTGAATTGCCTTGTTTTGATAACTACCACCCCTTCTCTTACCCTCCACCATGCACCCGCATATAAGACTACCTAACCAACCTGTCAGGTTTTGGCTTTCTAGGTCGATGTTTAATTGGACAGTTTATTTTATCTTATCAATAAACAATGAACGGTTACAGTTGAGAAAGCTGTCACAAAATTCCATGACGTCATTAAATAATGTACGTCCCGTGGTCTTTGTCTTGTTAAAATATCTTTTTGGAAAACAATTCTTCAATTTGGAAATGTTTAAAGCAGAAATGTAACGTTTCTTCAAGAATACTATCAGAAAGTGTAATTTGCTAGGAGATGAGTACCAGAGTACCAAATGAGTACCAGTACCTGTTTTCTAAATGAAGGCATCGGAAATCAATGAGAATAAGACGTGCTAAGTAAGTTTTCATTTTTTACGGAGCTTGGTTATTGTTGGCGGTCACAAAGAAGCTCGTTCAAAAGCCGATACCCTGTCATGAATGAATTCTATTGGGATTATGCTTCATCGTGAACAGCATTACAACTGTGTTGATGAAATATCCCAAAACAACAATATATTTCCGAATTTTGATTGATATTTCATGAGATATCAAATCAATTAAACAGTTGCTTTCCACGTGAGCCCTTATTTTCTAAAACTTAAATAAGAATCCTAGTTTCTATTCATTCTTTCTGAGTAAACCAAGGCCATCAATATCGGCAATGCATAATTGACCAGAATACGCGGTGAATAAGCAGGCTCTGTTGTCGGTAAGATCAAAATGGGTGGCTGGTAGGATTGCAAATTTTTTTTACCAATGCAGAGTTTGAGTTCGGGTATACTTTATTCTTCTACAAACATCTAGGGAGCAGGTTATGTTGATCGGGAAGTTCGAAGCTAGATCGAGTGAATGCGAATAGAGCCATTGACGTGACCCGAAAAAGCCAAAAAATATATACATATCTGGTCAACCTGGATCATCTTTTGGATGCCAATAAGGCTTTCCAAGCAGTCAGTATAATGCTGTTGAAAGGACCGAAATGACTGCGGCAGCACTTATCGAGGGTAACGGTGGCGATCACATTTTCTACTAACTGAACAGCATGCTAACTACCTCTAGTGCTGTTTTTTAATAGTCTGCAGATGTATTTTAGAGAAATGCTACATGTTTGCATACCATAGAAACAGCGGCGTGAATAAATATTTAAAATATGTGTTTCGTTGCTTAATGCTCAGAGCTCGCTAGGTGAACTCATTCGTCCCGTACTGCCTTGGGGTTCAAGCTCGAGTCCCACTGGCAGCCGAACAGCAGCTAATATTGTAGGCAGGTAAACACGGCCAGCAAATACATTGGAGACTGAAAAAGACGCTTCTGGCTACTTACCCCTCATTAGCCAGGCATACCCAACCTCAGGTGGTGCACCATTCGAGGTTCGGACACGCAGCATTTTGATGAGAAGTTCAACGCTCCAAACACTGAGTAACAAGCTCTTTTTCCTGCCAGATTAAATCGGCAATATCAACGATCGGTAATAAACGCTCACCGATGGCTAACGAAGTTCAATCTCCCCGTACTGCATTGTGGCTCCTTCGCTAGCCCCGCTATCAGCCGCACAGCAGCTAGCAGTGTAGACAGTGGCCAGTTTTTCCCTTACCGGCATCGACGCCTTCTTGTGAGTTTAAAACATATTCTCCCCTACTATTCAGCTTGTAGTCCAAGGCCATAAGTTGATTGGTTGACGGCAGCCTACTGGAAACACCAGAGCAGACACACATATTTGATTGGAGGAGATTCCTCAGCGGCCAATCGTTTTTGTGCTGAGCCAAAGGACCGACCAAGTCAAAGCATATAAAAATGGAGATGAGGAGGAATGCCATCTAAGCCCAGTTTGATTTCCGCCGCAAAGATGAGGTGAGTAACTGGCTCTGTCGTCCTCTAGCTAACGCTTAAGGACTGCAATTTAACCACGCTGTTCTCTCCTATCTTTTACACATGCACAGATTTGTGGTTTTTCTTGCAATGGTCGCTGTTGCGAGTGCAGCGTTGAGCTCCACTGAGACCCTTGATACAACGGAGACTCACGGCACAACGGAAGCCCACGAGACAATGGAGACCCACGGGACAATGGAGGCCCACAGTACAACGGAGGCTGTGGAAATTGCTATGGTCAGGAACATGAGGTGTCAACAGTATGAGCCAAAGCTGTGTCAATCCTGTGCGAAGAAGGACGTGAAGGAATGTGTAAAATGCATGATAGAGGACAACAAGTGTTGCTTGGACCCACACAAGGGCTATAAGTGGATGAAAAACCAGGCAGAAGACTACTGTAAAAAGTGGGTAAAGATACACTAAAAGGCAAACCACAGTATTTTTTCATTTTCTGGACAGGAAATTTGGGATTCAAAGGGCAGGGCGCAGCCACGGAGCGAGAAGAGCACTCGATATAAATATAATTCGGATGTAGAAACGTGTACTTTTGACTTAACACTAATTATCGTTCATTGGTCGAGGATATAAAAGAAGAGTGGTCTAGGGGAAAATGATAGAAAGTCAAGCAATCTTAAACCGACTTACGTCTACTATCAGAATTTAAGGGAAAACACGTTTGGCTTCACTCGCCTCCTTTGAGTGGGGAAAAAAATAGACACTTTTATTTTTGGGACTTCCGTTTGTGAGCAAGAGACTCGTCTGTTTTTCCTGAGGAGTATTTTAAGGATAGTTTTTTTTTCCTTAGACATTATTCGACTTGATGGTGCACACGCCCAGATTACCAACATACCTCACACCTACTACAGCACCATCTCCAAGTTCGTACTAACCCACTCAAGTGTGATCAAGGCAAATTAGACTTTATTGGGTAAGGATTTCTTAAGTGGCCGTTTAAACGGAACATGGTGTCAGTAACTTCCTGCAGTATCGGTGGCTTCGCGTAAAATTCCGCTGGAAATAGAGTTCCGGTTACGGCTAGCGTTAAGTCCAGGGTCAGATCCAAGGTTCGGGCTAAGATTGACGTTAAGGTACATGTGTGTCAAGGTTAGGGGTAGTACCAACTGTAAAGAAGGCGAAGACGCGATCTCTGGAACGATAGTTTTATTCTGAGCTTTCGGCTCCACA